GAAATGTGTTATGTTTGATTCTATTCGGACATTGACCGAATGAAGCCTGGAACATGAATATGAACTCTTTCATATCTAGCTCATGAAAAGCTATCTTACTGCTTACGAGTATAGAAATACCTAACGTCGCTACTTGAAGTAATTCAACTTATTTTCTCTACTATGTCTTATAAACCACTTAACCAACAACTTTGTTTCTCCTCGAATCTTCCTACTTGTCTCAATCTCCATCAGTAACAATCTGAAGAGGAGTCAGTAAGAGGCAACTTAAGATTTAAGAGAGTCTAATAAAATTAACAACAAACACCCAAGCCCCTGACCGGGTTGCATTCCTACCCAAGCAGTTGTAACTTCTTTTATTAGTGCTTGGTTATAAAGGTTTTAAAAGAGACCTCCACTAGTGGACCGACCCTACCATAAAGCTCAGGCCAAGGGTTCGAAGCCGGCAATAAAGCCCACCCGCATTAAGCCAAAATGTACCATGGTGTAATTAATTTTAGGGCAGCTATATTAATTTTATTATATAAAATGAGCAGTTTAGATAGAATGACTGTGGTAATATATTGGGTCGTTATGAATAGATTCGTGCCTAATGGATCTCGGTCTGATATCTTCTTTAATTGTTCTCAAGTATATTACAAATTATTGTTTGTCTTTCTCTTGTGGAGTGAAGTTTCTTTTACGATTATTATGAGCATCCCATTCCGAAACGATAGCAAAGATCAAAAGATATATTTTGGCAAAGTCGAGAACATAGATGCAGGGTAGAGTAGTGCTGTCTTAAGAATGTATTTATCATAAATCATAATACAATTAATTACTATTTCCAGGTCCTTAAAGGGTCGCAGCAGCAGTTCACAATTGCTGGTGATATTAAGGATCTACTTGTTGGTCTATCATGATATAAAACAAATAGAGTTTTCTACAATTATTAATCATAGCAATAAGATTTAATTTGTATTCTTATGTATTCTGTGTAACGTGTATTCTTAAAAACAAAATTGTTCTTATTTAGCTTTATTTATTTAACTATTGTTACAATAAGAATCTACCAGAGCAGGTCATTAGCGACTTTAGATGGATATAAATTAGGTGGACAAATTTAATGTATTTTATGAATTCAAATACGTTTTGTATCTTCTCTTCCCCTATATCTGCAAGTGCATCAGATATGGAGGTATATTATGTTTTGTTCTTAGGTAAAGTTTTGTCCAATTTTAAGTCTGATCTGTTCTTTCTAAATGAGGTTGTCCATGGTAGGATATCTTTTTTAATTTCTTGCAATTAGTTCCACTTGAATATTCTATTTAACTTTAAGTCTATGAATCATACATTAAAACTTACCCTACTCCTGAAGTCCTCCTTTGACCTTCACATTTGGGGGACAAAGCTTGATTCAGAGTCCCCTCGGCCATGTTAATATTATACATAGGTGTGAATGTGTTTTATTTATTTTATCACCATTCGGATTTAATCTGTTATTTTATTTATCTGAATACTATAGCTCTAGTATCAATGCCAATCAGTGTGGCAAACTGTATTAATACTCACTAAAATCATTAATCAACAAGTTACTCTACAAATACAACTTAGTTTAACATTGATATTCATTAATTGTTTATATTTTATAATTATGAATGACTCAGATCTGGATTACATTTGATTAGTTTATTAAAATTTCTCCCGGCCTAAGTTGTATATTTAACTTGTCGTTTTAGCATTTTGTAACCCATCATTCAATTAATTAATTACAATTATGTAAATTAAAAATTTTATAGCATGACAAATAATTTACGGTCTTATTAAAAAGGATAAAAATTAAATAGTACAAAATCATTTATAGAAAAATATACCCTATTTGTTTTTTTAATTTTTTATCAATTTGGCATACGATTTGTTTATATTTCGTGGGTCAGTTTTAAAATGTATGGCATTATTTTAACCTACTATAATAATAATAGCTTCCGAAAATGTTCTTCTATATCTATTTTTTCTATATGTATAATTTCAGTGTCATTAAAATCAAAATTATGCCCTCAATCCGCATGGTCTACTTACAAATAAATTTGATATAATTAAATATATATTTAAAATAAATATTTTCTTTGTTTATGCGATATTGTCAAATTTCAATGTTTTAAAATCACTATTAAAATTATCAATGATTTTCGCAATATATAAAAATATTCGTTTTATTATTAAAATTAGAATAGAAAATATAGCTTTATGCATTTCTTAAAAAAAAAATATGTAAATGATGATTTACTTCGATTCATCCAATGTTACTTTGGAAATAAACGATTCGTATGATGTAAGAATTCTATTAATTCAACCAAATGATTTAATACAAAATATTGATCATCATTCGCGGTACAGAGACGCCTTTTGTCAAATTATTAACATTCGCAAAAAAACTTCGTGAATTATTGTAGACTACATTTTACTTACGAAAATTCTCGGGGCGTTTTCAATCTTGAGATCAGCAAACTTCGTCTATTTAATTAGCGCGACCTTCAACCCTCCCCTCCCCCCCCCCAACATGTTGAATTATTGAGATTACTCAAGCCAAATAATTTTTTAGGCCACCTTTATTTTCGATTTTGTTATCTTAGGATTCAAGTAAAAACTAAATGGGTATTTATGAATTTGTAGTACCTCATTAAATTAATTAGTTTAAAGAGAAAGCGCCTATTTTCTGAGATTTCGCGACGTTTTAAGCGCATGTTAATAATTTGTTAAGGAGTGGCCTATAACACGGATTATTATCGTTGATAAGTTTCTATATATTTTAGTTTTTATTAAAAAATTATGTAAGATATTATAAATATGTATATATATATATATATATATATATATATATATATATATATATATATATATATATATATATTATATATATATATATATATATATATGCCAATGTACAGCACTCCCAGATTTAAAGAAGAAAAAATCAACATCTGCTGACTACCTGTCCTTTGAGATATATCCTACGTTTCCGGATGTGGAGGGAATCTTATGACAGGGGATTGTTTTTCTAAATTATTTTTTTGCGGCGCCGTAGATATTGAGATAAAGCCTAAGGCACCTTTGGGACACTTATTTGATCCACATAAATAGTCTGCTAGTCACGAGATATGATCGAAGCGTCTCCACTTGCCTCTGTCCCAAGGCAGTAAATATCCCGAGGATCTGTCAACGGGGGTCGCAGCGACATCACCTAGCCAGGGTAGAACCCCAGGCCACTGGGGTTCTACGGTCTGCGGGAGGTTAACTGGGGTGGAACAATAAGTGGAACGCCACTGAGGTATTCTTTAATAATCGACAAATAGGCAAATAGTTGAAGAAGCAGTTTTTATACATATAACAAAAAAATATTTTTTAATTTTATTGGCAAAATATATTTCAAAATTCTACAATACAAAAATTAATTAAGAAACTGGCATTTTTTTTTTTTATTTCAGATTATTACATAACATAACTCTGATACTTTCTAGAATTCCCTCCACTTACAAATCCGGCTTGCCCCCTCCTCATCCGCATTTAAAATTATTTTATTCCAATAAGGTACTATTTACCAAACAGTTATATACCCGATAAAACGTTTTTTTTTAATTTTTTTAATGCTCCATATTTGATGTATTTATGTGTTTTACAGCACATAAATGCCCATTTCGCTTATTCGTCTCTTGAATATAAGGCTATTTAGATGTATTTAAAAATTGATTTAATTAACAGCTTTATTTTTATTTTATTTATAAGAGATTGGGTACTCATCCATTTGAGAAGCATAATTTTGTTTTGTTTTCCTTTCTACAGATGCGAACATTTTGAATAATTTATCAATTACTTGTGTATAGTTTTAAGTATCTTGTTTAAGTATCATAGTTTCATTTGTTTTGTGTTTTATATATAATACGTTTATGCAAGAATTTTTTTTTTTTTTTACTATTGGAGAGTATCTGCTCATAGGATTATCATAGAAATCCTATATAGATCATAAAAAAAAAATAGAGAAGCTTTTTCATCGTCATAATCATATGTATTCTCTCCGAAGAAGGAATCTTAAAAAATATCTTAACTTCTCACACAGCACTCCCCACCTCTTTTTTTCCTCTTACCATTTTTTTTTTCCTTTTCCTTTTTTCTTTTTTATCTTATGTGCGAACTTTAAATAACTAAACTTTAATAACAATAAACTTTTAACCTTAACGTGCATTAAACATTTTTTTAAGTTTATCCAATTCTTAATATTTATAAACAAAAGTTATAACAATATATAATTTTAATTAACGGCGATGATTACCAACAGCTTCTACGCCTTTACTACACAACCAACCAACCAAAATAGAGAAAATTAATTTCTTTTCATTTTAAGAAGCAATTATTTGTTATCACTTCTCATTTGTTTTTTGTATAGTTTGAGTATTCTTTACATAGTTTCATTTGTTTCCTCTTACATGTATTGTTAGTTTACTTGAAGTGTTTTATTTATAAAATATAACAGACTTTTCCAGAAGCAATCTTTTTGTTTGTACAACTCTTTGTTATTCTTAAGAGGCTTTGTCCCCGAATAAGGTATAAAATATATTGACTAATTCAAATTTCAAATAATAATAGCCTTTCATTTATTTATTGTTTGTTATTTGACATTGTTTGTTATTTGCTAATTTATTTACACTAGATATAAACTACTAGCATTGGACATAAGCTAACCGTAATCATAATATGGATTCCTTGTCCGACATGATATTAATTTATTTGTAAATGTACCTGTCATTAGATGTAAAACATGGTTTAAATACAAATCCGTTGAGGTTTATGAATGAAGAAAAATAAGATAACAACAATGTATAACTTGTTTATTAAGGAAAGACAAATTGGAGGTGATGGGGAAAAAATTGTAAAACATGAAGACTCATAACGGTGGTTGTGAAGTCTCAGTAGGTGGCGGAGATCAAGAAAAAACAATTACTTCCAGCACTTAAGTTCTTATTTACATTCTTGTTGAAGTTTTCTTCTTCAATTTTACCTTAAACTATAACAATGATATGGTTAATAATAATAATTAATAATATGGTAGCAATAATTATTATTGGTATATGTTTATAGATACTGATTCACAATTTTCACTCCTACAAGATGAATGAACACACATTGGTGGATTTTCGAAGCTAGTCCGAGGATTATCACCACCCACGGTTCAATATCAGATGATTAACTAATGTTTAGGTTAGAGTCCGAAAATTGAATTAAACAATTTCTTTATTCCCGGCCGACTATTATATACTAACGAACATCAATTAATAAATGACAATCATTACAATAAAATAATAAGTGAAATCCATAAATTCCTTGTATTTTTGTTTACTCGTAAAAATAGAGAAGTTTAAAAAAGGTTTATAAATTCTTATTAATAATTTTTCTAAAATTCTAAAAAAATATTTTATCTCTGTTGTCGATCCGTAAATATAATCAATAGTCAGATGAAGTTAGCAATTATAACTTCCTTGTGATTGTGGTATATTTTGTTATACATTTGTTTCACGTTTCCCCATCATTAAAAATAAATTATTTACACTTACTGATCCTCATTTTTTTTTTTTATGTCAATATTTGTAATTTTCTGTTGCCATTCTATAATCATAAATATTTATAATTGACTAATGATTGGTTGTATATGAATTTATATTTTAATTGCTTACCTCCTTTAAAACAAGAAAATTAAAAAAGCTAAATAAGAAATTATTAAACTGTTTTAATTTCAGAAAATGTCATTGAAGAATGTTTTTTAAATAAAACACTAAAAATTTCAAATTATATTTCACTATTTTGTGTCTGGGTGTAGCTTGCTGCTAAAGGATTTATAACAGATTCTTTGAGTGTATGTATGGGTATATATGTATTTTTTCCCTCATATTTGGCCAATGAGGAATTAGAACATTAACTAACCTTTTAATAGCTGGCAAAATGAAGGTATAGTACATAAATAATTAAATAGTATTTCTTCTTCCAAAACGATTTATTTGTCATGTTTCATTTAGTTGTTTGTATTGGAAAATGAAAACCTTACCTGTCAAAACACAGACATGCTCGCCTATATTCAGAATTCCACGAACAGTGTATACATGTGATGTACTGTTGTGGGACATGAACCTTACTTGATACCAATATTAAATCTATGATTTTACAACTTCTAAATCAGTAAATTAAGTCAATTAAATGATAGGCTGAACAAACAAATGCATTGATAAAATGTACTTTGATAATGTGTTAATTTCAAGTAAAAAAAATTTCCAAACAACTCGAAGGTTGTATTTTTAAGTATAACCTACTTGATTACTTGAACTATAAACTATTTGATTATTAACCCGAAATAAATACAATAGTAAGTAGCAATTAGTATTGTCTAGCAAATAAGTTCTATCGGTTTCCAAAGTGAATTAAAATCGGTGTGTTATAAACATGAAATTTATCATAACTTTAAATATATTAACCATTTTTTCGTTCCCAGCAAACATCAAGAGTTCTTTTTGTCAAAAAACTGAACATGGTAGTTTTAAGGTAAAATTCATTTTGGAATTATTTTTGATTTATATAGGAGTGGGATAGCTCAGTGGTAGGGTACTGAGCTTCCAATGCTAAAGGTCCCAGGTTCGAATCCCGGCTCATGGCAGGAAATTTATTTATCTGTTTCATTGGGCGTGGGCGACCCTGGGTCTAAGATCCTCCTGGGACACATCCAGCCTCTATAAAGTGGGTACCCTTAAATAAATAATTGATTAAGGTGGAAAACCTGTTTTAGGAAAACCTGGCGGTTGAGCGTGATCTCGGTCAAATCACCTCATTGCGCAATCGTTGAGCTAGATAAAATGCTTTCCCTAAATACTACTGAACCCAAGACTGTTCATGGGTTGTAGTGGTACAGTTTTGATTCATATAGTTCTGCAGAGACCGGAATGCATAAGTGGTATTTACTTCGAGCTAAGGCTGGTGAATAGGGAGGGAAGGGCAAAATATCTCATCCAAAGAATAATAATTTATTTCAAATAGGTGTGTTTTCTAGCGAATGATAATGTATAATATTTTGTTCCATATTCATAGTGGAATAGCAAACATAGTACTAATCTAGTTTTAACAAGAGTTTATAGAAACGGTTGTCTATATATATTTTTTTAAATTTATTTATTTATTAAACAATATAACATTCTGTATTCCGCTGGACTTGAACGTTTGATATATTACAAAGAGGATACACAATGCACTATACGAATAAATTTGTCAGAGAGAATTGTATGATATTGATATAAAATAAACAGAAAAACCAAAAGGACTTATTTGCTAACACAATATTTAAAAACAAATTATTTAGTAGGCTTTTAGTTAACTTCCACCATCAACTATAGTAAAGGTCTAATCATCAATAAAAATATTGTTTTCAACATTTAATATAACTTACAGTTTTTGGTCATTTTAGGGTGCAACAAGAGCGACATCTTGAATTAGAGTAGAACGATGGTTTAGCCATTTTATGTATACAACCAAGAATTTCTATAACTTTTATTGTTTGTTTTTAAATTTCGAAATGGGCTATGAGTAGGCAATGTAAAAAATCATGTTGGGTAAATTGTCAACACCATAGTAATGGTAATATGTTTTTCTCTACTATTAACAATAAACCTATTAGAATAAAGCTAGATTTCATCTTCTTTAGACTGAGGCAAAGTCCATGCATTGAATATCAGTCCCATTTGACAAACTGTCACCCATTGTCCGAGTCGCCGCGTCATTTCTATTGCGTTGTCCTACATCGTGAGTGCCGCTCCCAGCAGCGGAATATTCTAATCGAAATATGAATAGGCTATTGGACGAGGCGGTGGCGAACGTGGATTGTCCTCCCGATCGTTGAACTCTCGTCGCCAACAGTGAGCTGAATGGGAATCAGGTGTGAACTGGGGATCCATGCGACGCTGTGTTGCCAATTAACAATCAGCCTCGGGGATTCCCGACTACTTTTGCCGGTGTCTTACAAGGAGGAGCAGGAGGACATATTGGTGGACACTACACAATGTATTGTGTTATCCGGAAAATAGGACAGGATTTCATATTATCGTTATATAAACGCTCTATATAACAAGCCATTTATTTTTAAGGGTTTATTCCTTTGTATGAATGTCAAAACTTATTACTCCTCTTCAAATATTCTATCATCCATTACATTTCACTAGTTGGAAACAATTCAGTCTTTACTAAGATGTCAAAGGACAATTTTCGCAATAAATTCGTTTTACAAGTATAAAGCAATAAACTCGGTCGGATTTGGGCCCAAACAGTGAGAAACATTAATGTAGTCTGAGGCGATGATATCGTGAGTGATTGCACCGATAAACATGGCTTTAAAAAGTTCCAGAGAAAGACTAATATAGCCGTGAGTGCATTTCTTCTCTTGATCACTACGTAATCGGAGCTTTGGTCAAAGAAAATCCCCCCCAAAAAAACGTTCTAGGATTTGTTGAGAAATTTTTAAAATATGCGTTTTAATATGAATTTCAAAAAATATATATATTTTTTTTTTTATTTATTCTTTATTACTGAAATGATTATATTTTAAAAACTCGACCTGATTGACAGGTGCACATTGGTAAATGCAGTAGGAGAAAATTTTATGTATCTGTTGCGAAGACCGAGAAGTTTTTAAAAATAATTAAAACTGAAAAGTAAAGAAATTATGTACGTAGAGCTATTTTTACAAAAAAACTTGGCATTCATGAAAGCTGTAATAAGAGTTTACAATTGCAAAACATGAATATTAGGGTAACAGGCGGTTTGCATGCACATTTCAACTCATTTGTTATTGCCTGTGTAGGCTCTACTGTCATATTTTGCCTCAGCAAATGTTATTCAGCAATATTAAATAATAAATTTTAAGACTAATAACAGCAGCTCCCTGGTACGTAAACAACAAAACTTTACATACTGACTTAGAACTATCGACTAACATATACGTACTCTCTACTCCCGATTCCATCTTAAACTACATGGAAACCACAACGGACTTATCAATGACATGTCCACAGCTGACATGCCCATCAGGAGACGACAAAAGAGGAGCTGGGTGAGAGATCTCCTTCCCTAAATTATGAAGTAGGCCAAGACCAGAATGAGGTTAATGCTAATTTTCTATACATTGAGATCACATCTGCTTATTGTCAATACTATGACAGGTGTGGATAGAACTATGAAGACAGAAAAAAAAGAAAGTAATATTTCGAATTCCCAGTTTCATGATTTACTAAAGAGTAGAAAATAGGAATTTCAGACAAATTTTTATAATGTTTAAATCAATAAAACAATGTTCCGAGTTTTCAACTTCCTCTCCAATGCTACTGATTTAATAATGAGCCATTCAGATAGTTGGATGCCCATTTGAAGTATTCTTGGTCCTACTTCAATAAGCGTAATAAGTTCAAATAAGTTGAATTATCAATCAAATAAAAATAGACATGATTGAAGCGTGAAATATTAAAGAAATGATGGTCTCATGGACATAAAAAAAAGGGAGGGTAATAGTAGGTTTGAAAATGAAGAAATAACGGTTATTAAAGTTTTTTTTTATATTTATTTTAAAATCAAACTTTGCAAAATTTGGAGCGCTCTAACCTCACATTACCTACCCGATGAATAGCGTTATCACTGTAAATTTCGGAGTATGAATACGAAAGATCTTTTATTTTTTTTACGTATTTTTTTGTATCCTAAAAGTTACTTAACAGCTTGGTGATAATAAAAAGTTGCAAACAGTTAACAGAAGTAGTACAAAACCAGAAGCTTGTTTACTAGAGTTTTGGCCAGCTGTCGGAACTGAGACACCACCTGTTACCCCAATAGTCGAGACAGAAGAGGTCGCCGTCGAAAACACCGCTGAAGCGTCCTGAATAATCCAGGGAGTAGAAGAACCCCTGCCACTTGGAAAACCCAAACCGAATCGAGTCAAACGACATTTGCAAACTGTAAATATTTAATGCTCATTAAGAGGCCCCTCGTTTGACTCTATGGAGCCGTTGAATATTTCAGCTGTCATATTTCAGGGCGTCTCTGAGGGCGGATGTCAACCAGTTGTCTCTTGTCTCTCCAGCCAGCCCTTCTCCTCCTCGTTAATATTGCAGGGCCTTTAGAATCCCAGTAGCCCTTAATCTCAATTTTGCTTCCATAGCCGTCCCTTATAATTTTCCTTAGCTTTGATCAATCAATAGTCGTTGAGATATACCTTAAACACTAATTAACTTGCAGTAATGATTTTTATTTGTCAGAATCATATATCAGAGCATTCTATAATATTTTGTAATAGATTTTATTGTTCAAGCTGGCCTACAAGTCAGTACAAGTTTTTTTTTTTTATCACCACAAAATCAGGATTGAATATTCACTCTAAAAAAATTCGCTTAAATGCATTAATATACTTATGTCTAATTGCGTCTAGTTCAGATTTTTTTTTTTTTTTTTTCAATTTTGGAAATTCTGTATATCCCAGGGTCCAAATAACCACGTCCCGCAAAATGGTCGTGTGTTAACGAACAGTCGTACGAAGATGAAATAGCATATTTAAGGTTTTTGATATGCCTGGGATGTTACAGCAACTTTTTCGCCAAAACCGGTGGCACTTTATATAATCAATTTAACGCATTTTTATGATTTTCTCTAAAACGACTATAACTATTTTGATTAAATTCACTATATCAGTGTAAAATTATGCAGTTTTTAATATAATGTAGGTTTGATTCTCATTGATGTTCTCTATTACAGCTTTAATGGATAATTTGCAATATTAGCTTCTACTAAAGTAACTTTAATTTTTTTTATTTAAAACCATTGACCATTTCGCATTGATTTATAATATAAAAAAGAGTTAAATATAAAATGTGAGAGAATTTGATAATTAACTAAACGATAAATAAAAGATCATAACGGAAAATAGTTGTGATGGAAGAACCAAAGGAATACGAGCCCGCTCGAGATGTTAAAACAGGCTTTCATACGAAACATGAACTTAATATAATACGGAGTCCGACAATATTATGTGTATATACATGTGAGGTTTTCATATATGCTATCATTGGTATTGTGAACATATACACTTGTATTACAGCGACATAAATATGAAAATTCGTATATATGAGGGTACTTAAACAAATAAAAATATCCACAGTGAAATATAAATAATATAGCGTCTGTAATTTTTACTTTCACTTCCACTTCGTCTGAAAATACTTATTTCGGGTAAGAAGATGGATGTAATTGAAAGTTGTGTGATGTGCGCAACGCACCAGATTTTTTAAAATACTTTTCATATTTACCTCATAAACGTCCGAAATTTCTGACTTCAATGTTTCAGTTAATTATGGACAAATTATTACTCAATTATAAGGATGAAATAAAATAAATATTGTATTTTTTACCATATTCAAATGGTGATGGTCCTTGCAATTCCAAGTAATCCGGCTCTGGTCTTTGCACTTCGAAATAGTCCTGTGGTGGTCTTGGCACTTCCAAGTAGTCCGAAGGTGGTGCTTGCACGTCCATATACTCCGGCGGTGGTCCAGCTTGAAGAGGATCCTCCTCATCGGGTTTCCATCCGTCATTTGGTTCAGGATCGTCGTTTATGACTACGATAACACCATCATCATCTCGGTCAACTTCCTCTTTCCCGAAATCCCGTTGTTCCTCAGCATCTTCTAAAAGTAATCGTTAGAAGATGATTAAAATTTTGTTATTGTTTCTAGTTTCAAATAAAAAAAAAAAAAAAAAAAAAAAAAAAAACCTCATACTGGCTAAACTGATATTAATAAAACATAATAAAACATGCCCAGTACAGGATTCTCTACATTACAAAACAACCTAGAAAATATATAAAACTAGGAGTCAGATTTTATGAATTTATCCTGTTTTTTCTGTTTAAGGAAAAACTGAGGTTTCAAAAGACCTTTCCCGATCTTGAACAGTAAATTTTAAAATTCTACATCATCATTTTTGATCTATTATGCAATTTTGCACTAAAATAGATCATTATTGAAATTTTACGCCATAAAAATTTGTTTAGTAACGTCGGGCAGAAAAAGATCTGTTCCAGAGTCTTCATTTAGAGTTTGATTCAATTTAATATATTCACGAATTACCATGTATGAATTTACGCTTAAAAATCTAATCATATTAATTTAATAAAAAAAATTAAAGCGTTCGCAATATACGGATGCTTGTCTAGAAAGCATTAAAAAGTTATATTCAAGAAAACAAAACACCTATGTTTTAAGTCCGAAGAACTTATCAATTTGCTACTTTGATTCACAGAAGATTGGTTGTTTATATAGGGCGGTTCGTTAGATTCCATTTTCTAACTAAATGCAATACAATCTATCCATAACTTAGACAATCTCGTTGTTATCATATGAAATAAATGAAAAAGGTTTCTACCCATTATTGAATCACCGACAACGTTTTTAAAATAAAACAAATGTATATTAGTTACGAATTCTATCGAAAATGAATAATTCGATCATATTGTTATTTTTAACGAAAGGAACATGAACAATTTCACGATTCGGATAAAATCTGAGATCAGACATTATTTTCAATAAAATCAGAAAATATTATTTTACACAAACATAAATATTTGAAATAGTTTCTAAATTAATCGATATTATTAAGAGTGATTATTAATTAATCGTTTGAAACACTGATGGTTCAGCGGTTCCATCGGTTTTTGAAGTGGATGGATCCGCTAGTTGAAACCTCAGATCTATTTCTCAATTTACTTCACATATTTATATGTTTACTTTCTGTCTATATTCTAGCGATGAACAGTGATTCATGCTCAGTTTAGGAAGATCAACGCTGAGTTTAGAAACGTGTTCTGTTTATATATTTTTTTTTAATTCAACAATTCACTAGGTGGGTATTTCTTTAAATATTTTTTCATTGTTCACGGGTAAAGTAACTTTTTAGGAATTTTAACCTTCCGATGGAATCCGTTCCAAATTCAGGTCGTTCCTTAACAAAACATGAATAGCTGTCCATCGCTACTTGATTTAATCGATTGATGGAATCCTTCGTTGAAATTAGCTATGAACTTATCCTTTTGATGATTAAATAATGTTAATTTAAAAGATTCTTATTTTTGTAAATTTTAAGGTTTTATATTTCTGCTCAGTTTTACCGTGTTCATTTGCGTTTTTCTTATTTAACAAAATTTAAGCTCTATATTTTTTTTAGAAATTGATCTTTTTAGATCTTATCTAAAGATTGACTTTTATAATCTATTTCTTGGTATATTTAAGTATTAAGGTCTGTATCCTATACACAACTGTATAAGAAATGGAAAATAAAGCTGAACAAAACAAATCACAACAGGTTATTATTATAAGTTATCATTCTCCCTGCAACACTTTTGGAGACAGCCTGATGAAGGCCTGAACTTCAGGTCGAAACGTCGGCATATGTAAAAATAAATATTATCATTTATTTTTGCCTTCTTTTTTGACTGACCACCCCCAACCTATTATCCAGTTTAACAGAGTCAATCACCTATGCCACACACAAATAGCATAATCTTTTATGGACTGTGGCCATTAAGACAAAGTGTAAATTGCTAAATTTCTGACTGAGAATATTGTATTCCATACTGTACAGATGTCCTAAATTAGCGCTCAGACAAAAAAATGACGTTTATACTTATTCATTAAAACCTAAATGGATCTACGCTTGCCGAATCTTTGGATCTGAAAAAATACAGCAGAAAAGCTCAACATCATACTTTTCGAACGAAATTCATTACTCCGACTTATGCGTTCTGACTGCGACAAATCGCATACGAATGGACTACAAGCGGTTTAAGGACATATTAAATGGAATCTTAAAGAAATACCTAGGACAATTATCAAATGATACTCTTGATGTACCTTTGATGCAGGCTGAAAAGCAGTGCGACAATAAAATATCGTACAATATCAGGAGAATCCACCGTTGGGTGCTGTCTCCCTCATGCCTACCCATGACATGTATCGTGTACATTATCTTATTGTAACAGTTTACAATATATACTTAAGTTAAAATAAAATAAAATACAATATATATTAGATGAAAAAAATTAAGAAAATTACTTATATTGAGAAATAATACTCATTTCCTTACCGTTAAAGTACTGAGACACAGAGGCGTGAAAAAAAGCTACCACGAGAAAAGTAGTGAAGACCCACATCTTGCACTGCTTGCCACGTAGCCTTAGAAAATCTTATATATTAAATGCTGACGAGATTCTCCGTCACGCCTATCTCATCTTATTCATGTACATGAACGCTTTATAATTATAAACTGCTGTTTAAGAAGGAATATGTTATTACATGAGTTATTACGTATTGAGACAGAGTTTGTTTTTTAAATTATTTAATTGTTTTTTACGTTTATTCAGTATTTAAATATAGGTATACAGTATTTTTTTTTTTTTAGAAATTTAATGGGAAAAGGAAAGATACAATTTATAGTACAGCCCTGGAGCCAGGACCTAAAAAGGATAATTTTAGGAGATTTATAGGAGATAGGCTTGAACTGAATTATGAAAGTGTATGTTATTTTCAGTAAAATGAATCTTGTCTGCCATTCCAGAGCCACTTCTTTAAAAAATGGAGGCTAATTTAAAGAATATTATATAAATAACTTGACGGTCGAAACGGGGATCATGTTGCGAAAAACCTGAGAAAAGTTTTTATTTTTTGAAGTTACCTTTATTAGTCCACATAAACTTCATACGAAAATACTTCACAGAAATAAAAAAAAACGAAGTGTAAAATAAAGTGGTACTTTCGGTAAGCCGATGTTAAAGGAAAAGTTGCTGTAACATCCCAGGCATGTACCTAACTTAAATATGTAATCCCAGTTTCGTGCGGCTTGTAGTTTTTAGGTAGACTGTTCACAGACACAAAGACCATTTTTTTAGACTTCCTTATTTGGTTTCAGGGGACCTCAAAACATGTATTTCCCTAGAAAACGTAATTCGAAGTTTTTCACGATCGCAATACTTTCCCTTACTATATGTTCCACACATAGAGTGATGTAAAAAAAATCTTCAAGCAAGGCAAATTTTTCAATTTAAACGTGTTTACATCTTATTAATTGTAATCTAATTTAACCTTTTAGACACTTTTGATGTAATATATATTTAAATTAGCAATATTTTCAATTAAAAACATACCAAGGAATCAATCCGTTGTGTTCACGTTGGCCTTTTTGTTTAAATTTCACTATTTTGTTATCCATTTCAGTCTTTATTCTGTATTTTTCTTATCGAATTCTTTTCTGTAAAAGTCACCTAAATGTATCTGTAATATTTGTAGTGATATTGGAATTCTCCGCTTTTTTTCGGAATTTAATTTAATTTTCTATATTTCATAATTTGTATTTTTATTTTATATTTAAAATTACTTTTGTTTTTAAAAATGGCAAAATATTCACAGGTTTGATTGTTGTCTTGTAGAAAAATAAAGTTTTGCCCAATGAGCTTAACCCCAGATGGTTTAGCATGGTATGTAAGAATGCTATGGTACCGTTTTGCATCCAGTTTTCCAGCTATTCTCAAGAAGCCTCCAACTCTAGATCAAGGAACCCACCCCCGAACCATCCAGAAGTCATCTCCGTGTTTTGTTAATGTTTGCGAACATTCATTCAAAATTTCCACTCCAGATCTTCTCTAATATAATACTCTGTTCCAAAACCGAACAATTCACATTTTGACTCATGTCTCTATAAAAAATTGTTCCACTCTTCTTTCATCCAATTGTAATGATATTTGGTAAATCTATGTCGCCTTCACTTGTCAAGAGACCAAAGAAGTAGTTTTCTTCTGGAAACAAAACCTTTAAGGGCTGATAATAGGAGTTTCTTTGTGTCTCCGTAGCATAGGCTATTTCCTGAGCGTGTTTTTTTAGCGATTGTAGCAACAATGCACAAAGAAATGTAATTATTGTTCAGCAGAAGTATTACGTATTTTAAATCTACCTGAATGTTTCAAGTCTCCATTTTGCTTGATTTTACTAAACAAATTGATGGGCTGATGAATCTGAAAAATATAATCTTCAACTTCTTTTATATTTTTCCTAATTGAAAGTTTTTATTGATGAAAAACTATAATTTTATGTTTGTAAAATATATAATATTTAGCCATTTTCTGAATGAAAAGTAACATTAAATAGAAAACAAAAATATGAAAAATAGAATGTTAAATTAAAAACCAGTATTGGAACTTTTTTTGTGTAGATAATTCAGGTTCCTAGAGTTCATACAAAGGCTCTTCATGTTAAGAATAAACAATAAAAACTGAAATGGATAACGAAGTAGTGAAATTTGAATAATAAGGTAGCAATATTCAGCCCCTGAAAATAACTTAAATACTATGGATTCGTCCCTTGGCTTGTCGTAATACTAAATTGTGAAAATAATATTAATTTAAATATATATTACCTCTACAATGTCTGCTAGGTTAAATAAATTTACAATAAAGAAGATAAAAACACTTTTAAATTGAAATATTTGTCATTTTAATAAAAAATCTAGTCCGTGGTACAGACCCATTTTTATCAAATTATTAATATCCGCTTGAAACTTCGTAAATACCTTCATCTCACCGTAACCTATAAATATTTTATTTATGGAAATTCTCGAAAATAGGGCGTTTTCAATCTAGAGGTCGGCATACTTTGTCTATTTATATATTTTTTTACTTGTTTATTGAAAAAATATTACAATAAACAAGGCTCAAAGGACAATCGATTTAATTAGGTATTAAATACTCGGAAATACTCATTTGCTTACCAGTTTAATCGTAAGATAACGAGCACAAAGTCAAGAAACAAGGTGGCCTACAAAAATATTGGACCATTTGTCCTATATAATCTCGTTATTTTGAAAATTTAGGGATGTAAGTCACTTCAAACGGCTGACGTTTGAATTGAACTTTTTTTCTCGATTTTGTGATCAAATTATCTTAGTAGAAAGCAGAAGAGTATTTACGAGGTTTTAGTACATAATTAAATAGAAAAAGTTCAACAAACAAGAACTTGAGCACAAAGTCAAGAAACAAGGTGGCCTTCAAATTTATTGAGCCGTTTATTTATTTATAGGCTATAAAAAAAAAAATCAAAACCAAAATTAAATGATTAGGTCCCGTCAGTGGAGTGTCTATAAGAGCGGATTATTACTTGAGGCTCTATAAAAAACAAAAAGTAAAAAAAAAGGTATTTTTTAACGCTCTAATAGTAACACTTGAAACTGTAACAGTAACGCTAGATCAATCCGACAATATTTCCCTTTCATGTTTATGATATTTTATATATTTTGAGGATAAATAACGTTATATATTTTAATATTTATTACTTAATTAATTTTCTGAAGACAATTGTTTTATTGAGTATTAATACAGTCTGCCACACTGAAGGGCATTGGTACTAGGGCTACAGTATTCATTCACACAATATGTACATAAGAATCTGAAAACAATAAAAAACGTAAAATAAAAAAATTGTTGAAGTACAACACAAAGTAAAAATTAATATAAACTACTAATAAAATATATTAATTTTCAAAACATATAATAGAATATCTCATAATTTAGTCTCCTTCATAAAAATATGTGCATACGAAAATTTGAAGATATCCACATAAACGCCTGTGGTATACATCTTTTGCTTCATGCTTAGAACAAGGAATATGAGTAACAATATTTTTGATGAGTAGCAATTCTAGTTCCATGGGAACTTTGATTTTAAAGGTTGATTAGTCCAAATAGTGTCACAATATTTCCTCAATAGTAAATCAATGTGTATACATAGTATTTAGTGACTTCTTCTTCGTCTTCCGCATCAAATTAGTTTAATTGACAACGTTTGGTATTGGTAAGCCTTATGTTTCCGAGTCCAAATCATCAACAAATCAATGGCTTCATTATCAGCTTCCTCTTCTTGGTGTCGAGTTTCATTAAAACCCTCTGCTGGAGTGGTAAATAGCGATTTGCGGTCGATCGTGACTAAAATTTATTAAATCAAATAAAATAATATTGAACAACTCAAATAATAGAAATATTTTTAAATTTACAATAAGATGTTGAATTTACAATTTTACCGTAAGAGGTTGAGGAACCCCTTCCATTGTTATAAATAAATAAATACAATTTACAAAATTCGAAAAGGACGTGCATTATTGCGAATAGATCAACAATGCAACTTACCAGAATAGAACCATTTTGAAGACAATTAGTTCAACAATGGATGAAGAGGATATCTGGAGTTTTTAAAGGAAAATCCTAGAATTGTATCCGTAATACGGGTCGGATTGACCGCGTTTTACCGTTTGAAGGTTAAATAAAAGCGTTATAGTTTTTAAGACCTTACAATATAATGTTTCTTGCAATATAGGTATAATTTAATTATAAATATCCATAACAATAGACTCTTAGGAAGAGAGTAAAATCTATATATATAAAAATGAATGTATGTCTGTCTGTCCGTCTGTTTGTCCTTACTGCATTACTAAACCATTCAACCGATCGCCATGAAACTTTGGGAAGCTGTTCCGTACACTCCTGAGAAGGTTTCAGGCATAGTACTTCTGTCTTGCGATAATTTTATATATGTAAAAAAAATAAAAATGTAAATGTTTTTCTGTTCAAAGCCGCAAAAAAATGTGTCGCTATAAACTGTAGTGCCAAAACGGCTTTACCGATTTTAATGAAACTTGGCTAAAGTCTTCCCCTTGAAACCCTTTTAATTTATGTGTATAACATACTTTCCCGAAAACAAGCTGAAAAATATTACGATGAATTCAATATTTTATTTGACGATAACTAAAAAAGTACACAATTTTTGATAATACCCATATTTATATGAAAGATTTCTGAATTGCTGACAAAAAAAAAAAAAAAAAAAACCATCGAAATCGGACGGTTCGTTGCAGAGTTATTGAGTTTTAAACATTTACAGCTTTCTCTTCAGAAAAGCCCTTTTGCTTCCTCACTACCGAACGTCGGCAACCATTTTTTTTTTTATTGATTAATCGAAATGTTTATTACAACAGTAATTGAAATTATCATTTGAAGAATTTATATGATTCCCCTTATGTAGGTCAATACTATTATACGTTTTTTTAATTAATTTTTTAATTTAGTTTTATAAGTTCAACTCAGACTGTTTCTGATGATTATAAATGACGGCGTATTTACTCAGATGATTATGAATGTTAAATTTGAATCATGAGGAAAAAAAACAAT